GGTGAGATCGCGCCCGGAAAATTCGCCTATCTTCTGTCTCTCTAGTGTGCCTAATGCTCCGTGTGACCGCAGCCACGCACAAATAAATAAATATAAGCTGCTTTGATTGTATCTGCAGCTGTCACTCAGAAAACCAGACAGGTTTGCACAGTTAAATCTGGTCCCAGTGTTGTGACACACACACACCCCCCGATGAACTTGAGGTTATTTGGGGTGTCATTCTTCGTTTGACTGTTTAGAGGCATTGTCTTTTTGCATGTGGGTACAGCTGGAAGGCACATAATCCCAGCTGCCTTGCTGAAGCTGCACGAGGCATGGAAGGGAGACCAGGGAATCCTGTGTACACTGCCTTGAATTTTATGGCGGACAAAAGGCAAGTTATAAATCCATTTAAAATGCTGTTTACAATCATTTATTGAACTTTTCTTAATATTTTTTTTTCATTCTCAGTGCATTGTTACTATCGCTATGATCTGTTTTTAATTCATTGTTATGTGAATTCACTGAATATGAGTTCACTTGCTAGGAAAATACTCCTGTTCGTAGCTTCTCCAGGCATAACAGTGCTGTCTTATGCAGTTACTCCAGTCTAAGCTTATTGCAACCAGTGGATTTCGACTAGAGTAACTCTGCACAGGATTGAATTAAAGATGAACAGGCAGTAAAGGACCTCTACAGAACGCGCCCCCCCCGCAATATATGTCTGATACCCTTTTGCCCTTTGTACAAATGCACGCAAGCAGTGTGAATATTTGATTTTTATAATGAGGCACTACATTTTGAAGTTCAAATGATAGCAGCCACTTGAGAGTGTTCAGAATGTACTTTGATGTGAGAATAATAATGTCATGTTGCCCTCTAATGGTAGCATCCCAAATAGAGGTTTCCTGTAAGCCAATCTGAATAGATTCTTAATTATTGGAATGGTTTCCATAAACGTTCCTGGCACCAGCTTTTGTTGTTGTCCTTTTACAGGCCTTTTCATAAAGAACTGGCAGACTACTGGATGCCTGTGGATCTGTACATCGGAGGAAAGGAGCACGCCGTCATGCATTTGTACTACGCCCGATTCTTCAGTCATTTTTGTCACGATCAAAAGCTGACGAAGCACAAGTAAGCTGTATTTGATTCCTGTGGAAAAACTATCCCAGTCTCAGTCTTCAAACGCATGCTCGGCATTTCAAGTTTTAACTAAAACTCTTTAGTGAGAAAGCCGGCACCTGGGTACCTTCCCCAGCAGTGTATTTCTGTACTGTGGTTAGGCTGTGTACAGACATTAAAGAGAAGTGGAGGTGGTATTGTAAAGTTGCAGTGACCCACAGTAGTACGTGTTCATTTACTAGTTCTCACAATGGTCAGACTGGTTTTTCAGGTTTCAGTAATGCGTTCATCTCTCGCGAGTGCTGAGAGCCCCAAACTAGCTTCCAGCAACACAACCATCACAACTGAAAATACCTGTATGTTGGGGTATAGGGCCTTAGGGTTGCCAGCTCTGGGATGAGAAACTCCTGGAGATTTGGGGCGGCACCTGGGGAAGGCAGAGTTTGGGGAAGGGAGGGCGATGTCACGGGCCCAGTCCAGGGGTGTCGAACTCTTTGGGGCCAAACATTATGAGAGCCGGATCTGACAGAAATGAGACCTTGTTGGGCCGGGCCATGTGTGTCAAAAGGTAATGCCAGGTAGCGGAGCTATAAACTTCATTAAGGACACAAACACAAAGGGGCTTTTTTTTAACTTAAAAACAAAACATTAGCACTCCTGCAATATTTGTTTATTTAACAGTGTCTGATAACTGATACCTCTTGCTCTGAATTACTGCATCAAAATGTCTGTGCTGTTGCAATCCTGAGTATGCTGTTCTGTATGTGTATCTGTAAGCTGCAAACCTACGATGACGCGGCAGCAGCAGAACTAGAAGCAGAAGACAGTCAGTTCCACTGCGGGCCTGATAGAAGCCCTCAGGGGGCATGGTGCGGCCCCCGGTCCACATGTTTGACACCTCTGGCCTAGCTTCTAAAGCTGCCATTTCCTCCAGGGTAACTGGTGGCTGAAGTCTAGAAATCAGATATAAATCTCAGAGACCTGCAGACCCCACCTGGAGGTTGACAACCCTGTGTAATGGTCACAAGCACCTATTGGATAGTGCCTGTGGCTCTCCCTGTACACAGTCTGAACAGCCAGCCTGGAACTGTATTTAATGTTTTTAAATATTTGAAAGGATTATACACATAGGGAGGGGCCACACAAGACTACCTCTGGCTCCTGGAATTTACTGTTTAATAGCAGAGCATTGCCTCTTTCAGTTCCTGTGAGATTATTTAGGAACACCAAAAAATCTGCCTCATTGGCTTGTATTGAATAAGGAAAGAAGGACTTAGGAAAACAGAGCAAAGTGGCTGCATCCTGCTTTCTTCTTCGTTGCTTTTATACAGTACCATTTCTGGATCAAGGCTGGCACCATTTTTATGGGAAGGAAATTGCTTCCATGTCTTGCCAGAAATGATGATATCTGAATTCTGACTCCTTTTTTGCCCTTTGCTTGTTTCACCCTCTCTTTAGTATGTAGTTTGAGAGGAGTTAAACGGCCATAAGAGGGAGCTGTTAGTGCAATACTGTTAGGAACTCTTCATAAACAGAGCGGCTGGAGAAAAGTGATAGAAGGTAGTTTCCTTGGACCGTTTTGGCAACCTCCCCTCCGGCATTTTTAATTCTTCTTTTTAATAAGTGTTTTTTATTATTCTGAATAATATATTCAACAGTACATTCAGAACACATATTAATACCATGCAATAATCAACATTCTCAACCCGTAAGAGCCTTTTAAAAATATAACAGGTCTTTGTAATAAGAGTTGTTTGGAATCACTTCTTCTTCTGCGAGATATTCCACTGCTGGGAACCAAGTTGCTTGAAAATCTTTTTGGTGAGAGACTATTTTACCATATACAAATATAAATATTTGTTACTTCCATATATGGTAAGGTTTCTTGTACTTTTGTGCTTGCAAACAAGTACATCTTGTTATCAACAAGAGCAACTTATGTGAATTAACACTATGTCATCAAAGATAAACGTTCCCTGAAAAATTACTTCTGGCTTGGAAACTTACCAAAGTGTTTTCACCTACCCCACATTTGCCTGTGGAGAATGTTCGTGGTTTCAAGCAAGTTCCTTTTTGTGAGAAAACAGCTTTTGCATTCGGTGGAATTGTTTAAATCATTTCCCCCCTATTCTCTCTGTCTTCTCTGTAAATTTAACAAACAGGCTTTCAAGGAATGTGTCATATCACGGCCTGTCTTTGGTTTCCTTCTTTATTTCTGACACTTGTAGCAGTACACGGAGTCCTGTGGATTTTGAAAATGAGCAAATTGTGTTTTGTCTATTTATTTCAATACTAATGCTTCACTTGTCTCACCAGTGGCAGCCCAAAGTGGCTGACAACATCATTCTCCCTGCCTTCATTTTATTCCCACAACAGCCATCCTGTGATGCAAGTTAGACTGAGAGAGAATGATCACCTAGGTAACCTAGTGAGCTCCCATGGCATGAGTGGGGATTCGAACCCGAGTCTCCCAGTTCTTTAAACATCACACCCTGTTGAAAGTGTTCATTGGTGTGGGAGCTGTACAGCATCTCCTTCCTGCTTTGCCTGAGTAGTTTGAGAAGCCCTGGTCATGTGGGAGGAGCCCCATTTCCCCATTTTGGAAGGGGAATGAAAGCACAAAGTCTCTGCAGTCATACTCTTGGACTTCTCACATTATCCGGACACCACAGGAAGGAGCTGTGTAGCAGTGGCTTCCATGCTAGGGGTGGCGCCATTAGTTTTTTTCAGCATTTGATGGGTACCCCAAATTTGAAGATAGAAAGCCTTACTCCATTGAATGTAACATTTTCTTTCTCTTTTTGGTATTTTTTTCATATGTGCGTATGCGTGCATGTGTGCACCTGGAAGTCATGGTGACCTCTGGTGACTGGCCCTTACTGGAGGATATTCAGAGAGGTGGCTGAATAAAGCCTGTCCCCACCTGCTGACTGCTGGTAAAGGAGGCCTCCCATTCAAGTACTTGCCAGAGTCAACCTTGCTTGGTGTAGTGGTTAGGAGCACCTACTCTAATCTGGGGGAACTGGGTTTGATTCCCCACTCCTCCACATGCAGCTGCTGGTGTGACCTTGGGTCAGTCACAAGTTCTTTCAGAGCTGTTCTCTCAAGGACAGTTCTCAAAGAGCTGTCTCAGCCCCCACCTACCTCACAGGGGGTCTGTTGTGGGGAGGGGAAGGGAAAGGAGATTGTAAGCCGCTCTGAGACTTCTTGGAGTAGTGAAGGGCGGGGTATAAATCCAGTCTCCTCCTCCTCTCCTTCATCTTCTTCTTCTTCCGAGATCTGTTGAGTTCGGGCTTGCCTGGGCTATCGAGGTCAGGACGAATGTGACATTTTCAATGGCTACATTTAATGAGAATGTATACAGAGTTTTGCAAAGTTAGTTCAGATGTGTATGTGTGGAACAGAAACATGTGTTACTCATATTTGGATGATGCTATCATTGCCCATAAGACTGTGTCAAAGTGGAACCCTCAGATTTCATACTCTTCTCTATCTGTAATGAGCTGATGTGTCTCAAATTAAGGCCATTGGGTCTGTGTCAGTAAATCCATACCCATGGCTTGTAACAATGAATGAAGAAGAAGAGGAGGAGATTGGATTTATACCCCTCCCTTCACTACCCAAAGGTGTCTCAGAGCGGCTTACAACTCCTTTCCCTTCCCCTCCCCACAGCAGACACCCTGTGAGGTAGGCGAGGCTCAGAGAGCTCTTGACAGAAACTGCTCTTTTTCAAGAACAGCTCTTATCAGAGCTACGGCTTGCCCAAGGCCATCCAGCCAGGTGCAAGTGGAGGAGTGGGGAATCAAACCCAGTTCTCCCAGATTAGAGTCCACTCACTTAACCACTACACCAAACTGACATGCCAGGATGCCGCTTACTTGTTGCTAGTCATCACAGTTAGCTGTGTCAAAAGATGTTATTCTCTCACATGTGTGGACACTTTCACATGTGAACATATATTCTCTTGAGCAAACAGAAATGTACTTAACTTCAGGCAAATATAGTAGAATATTGGTCACATCATCTATTGACATCCTGCAAACCACGTGTGTGTGTTGAGTTCTACTCTATTTAACAGCAGTACAATAGAATGGAGGAAATTAAGCCTCTCCATCTTCCCCAGGTATGGCAGAACAGTGCAAGAAGTGACTCTGAACTTTGGGAGTAGTCCCAAGCAAGGTCTATTGGGAAATAAGTGCCATGATATTTAGTGGAGCTTTCTCCTAGAAAAGTATCCATAGGATTGTAGCCTTTGTCTCTCTGTTCAGTCAGCTTCCTCCTTGGTTTTAGATACTGGGTCCCAGCAAGATGCCCAGTACAAATGACTTGGTGATCTGGGAGTAACCAGGATCTTTGTGTAGCTTAGCCTCTTTTTATCAGCATGCCTCTCCTGGAAAATCCAGTTGAGAGACTGACTCTGTCAATAATGCTTAAAAGTCCTACCTTTGGTGAGCACGTCCAACAAGATAGGCCAAAAACAAGATGGATGCCATTTTAGCAGGGCCTGTTTGGAAGTTCTAAGAAGCTGGATGGAGAGAGCCCACTGGGGCTGATTCTGGTAAAGTCAGCCTGATGTTCTTTCACGAACAAGATGGGACTTCAGTAAGCTTAACGTGTATTCTTGTTGCTATTTTCAGCAAAATTCTTTCTCTTTCTTTCCTCAGAGAGCCTTTTAATGAGCTGTTAGTTCAAGGTCTTATCAAGAATCGGACATTCAGGCTAGCAACATCGGGCCAGTATTTGAAGAAGGAAGAAATTGATCTTACTGGTAAATTAGGTGGTGAGGGAATTGGATCAGCACAAAACCGAGGGAGGGGGGGGGCTTTTGAAAAAGGTTATTGTTTGTCAGGGTACCTAAAATGGAGCAACGGTAGGTGAATCTCTGAGGCAGAAATGGAGTGGTTTGCTATTGGCTGGCTATAAAGAGAGTGCGAATACAGCTATAATGCTGATACGCAGGCTCAAAACTTATATCTGGTTTTTACTGAAGACTGGAATGGGGTTACCTAAAGCAGGATGTCTGCATCAGCGCCCCCCCCCCCAAAGACGCATAAAAATGCTGAAGATGTTGTGGTAATGCTGTACATTAGCCTGGCTGAAGTTTCATGAGGCTTGCAGTGAGCTCAGAAGATCCAGGCATAGCAACTAATGGAGCCATAGTTGTCAGCCTTTCCAGACATGGGCCCCACTGAGCTGCAAGCATGTGACAGGAAGTCACATAATATGTGTCCTATGACAGGGCAGAGGAGAAGCCAGACTTATGATCTCACCAGTGTTGAGGCTAGGGCTCTGGGCAGCAGACCAAAAGAGCTGGGGACAGGAACTACAAGCCAAGCACTGGGAGGCGTACCATAGAGAGGAACAAGCCAAAGGTCAGGACGATAGACAGAACCTGTCCACTACCATCCTACTACTGTTTTAAATATGTATACAAAGGGAGGCAAGAGGCGTGACGCCTTTATTCTTTATGCAGCAAATCCTTCCAAAAGGCAGCAAAAAAACAACAAAACCCTGCACACTCTAGCAGTTCACAGCCCGGCAGGATGGACTCCACGACACACCTGAAGGTCAGGGTCCGTAGGCAGAAGACCACTGAGCTACAGTCTATCTGAGGGTGGGGCCTCCTCCTCAAACTGAGGTGACTACCATAAGTTTTGACAAGGAGTGAGTTTGGCAGTTCCCAAATTGTGCAAGCTTGGTGGTTTTATCTGAATAAGGGGATTATGCATTTGGGGCTGATATCCAAGGGGGACAAGGGTTCCTGTATCTAAATATGGATAGCATAGGTGCATAGGCCAAAAAAACTTACCTCTCCTCCCCCAAGGATGGGATGCTGCCTGGTCTGCCCTGCAGCCTTGGTTCAGAAGAAGAAGGCGTTTCAGTACCCAGCTGTCCCTTGTCACGTGGTCCATGCTGCTAAGAGCAGCAAATCAGATGGCCTCCTCAGCTGACCTTGCAGCTCTTCTGAAGAGCACACCACACTTTGTGCAGGCCTTCTCAGGTCTCCTGGGCTCCTGTGAGACGTCAGATTCCCACAGTGTCACTTGGATGCAACTTTGCCTCTTCCCCCTCCCCAGGAAACCACCACTCAGCTGAGGTGGCCTGGCTTCAAATGTCTCTGCCATTGCAGTGGTCGTCTCCACCCACTACAGTTGTCAGTTGAGGGGTGGGTGGGGAATCCACATGCCCAGACACTGAACCTGCAGCTGAGTCTTGTGTGCCTTCCCTTTTTTCATACATTGGAATGGAAACCCAAGGAGTAGAACTGAGATTTGTTTGCTTTTGTTCTGTTTTTCTGTGATTTACAAAGCTGCCCTCACCTGGCTGCCCAGGCTGTTCGTTTTTGATAAGGGGCTTGGCCCACAACACTGGGATTTTTGTTCTTTCCTAGAAGGTAGTTCCCTCTAGATTGTCCCCCACCGCACCCTTTCCCCCTGAGAGATAAACTATGGCTAGAACAAGCATGAACAGTTTCTGTCTGCCTCCAGTTTGGTGTAGTGGTTAAGTGTGCAGACTCTAATCTGGGAGAACCATAAGAACATAACATAAGAACATAAGGGACGCCAATGTTGGATCAGGCCAAAGGCCCATCCAGTCCAACACTCTGTCACACAGTGGCCAAAAATACCGGGTTCGATTCCCCACTCCTCCACTTGCACCTGGCTGAATGACCTTGGGCAAGCCATAGTTCTGACAAGAGCTGTCCCTGAAAAAGAACAGTTTCTGTCAGAGCTCTCTCAGCCCCACCTACCTCACAGGGTGTCTGTTGTGGGGAGGGGAAGGGAAAGGAGTTTGTAAGCCGCTCTGAGACGTCTTTGGGTAGTGAAGGGCATGGTATAAATCCAATCTCTTCCTCCTCCTCTTCCTCATTTTCCTCTTCTTCCTCCTCCTCCTCCTCCTCTTCTTTTTTTTTTGAAACCCCCAAAGGGGTATTTTTATTATTTTTCATAGACTAATAACTACAACGAAAAATATAGGGAGGGGGGACTACATCTAAGGATAAAGGAAAGATACCCACACTAACTAAAAACCCAAGAGTAGGAGATCCTTTCCATGTTAATATAAATGTTAGTAAGACAAGTGTTAGTAATACAATATACTTGTGAAATTCTTGTTTAACACATCTTCTACATTAGTAAGTTAATCTTTGTGAGAGTACTTCTTGAGCATCTTCTTACTTCAGAGAGCAATTTACAGAGTCCTTCTGCCCTTACTTCGGTTTTCTATCCCTAAAGTCATATACAGTTTTCGTTGCTGCTGCTTCCCCCACAGAGTCCTTGTCCGTTCCCGAAGTAGCAGAGTCACTTGACTTGGATTCTTCATCTTTACGTTCTTCTTCCGGCCCGAGCTGACGTCTCAAAAATTCCTTAGCTTTAAAGATGGAGTCAATCTTCTCTCTTTTGCCGTTGACTTTAAAAATTACACCTTCAGGAATCGCCCACCTGTACTGAATTCCATTAGTTTGAAGAAATGAGATCAGTTCCTTGTAACCTTTCCTCTTTTGACGGATTTCAAATGGAATATCCTTTAAAGTCTTTATGATTGTGTTCCCAATTTTCAGTGGATTTGCCGAAGTTGCCTTTAATACCGCATCTCTGGTCTGTCTTCTTGCAAATCTCACCACAATCTCTCCAGGCAGGTCATTTCTCCTAATATAATTGGAGTATGCCCTATAGGCAGCCTCCATGTCTTTTACTATTACATCCGCTGATATACCTGTTACTTTAGATCTTCTTTTTCCTTTTTAGGCACCCCCTGAAATCTGAGAGTCATGTTAGCTTTTTCCATTTGAAGCTGTAACACACTAGTTTCCTGAAGTTTTTGTACTGTTTCCACATCCATCACTCTTTTCTTCATCTTCTTATTTGCGATATCCATCTCTGTAATTTTTACAGTTGCACGCTTCACTTTCTTCTCCGTTTCTGCCAGCTGGCGCTGCTGCAGAGCAAAGTTTTGGTTCAGTGTGGCCAATTGCTGGTTAATGCCACCGAGTTGCTCCATTACTGGCTTCAGCATATCTGTTAGCAGCTTCATGACGTCTGCTCCCTCTTCCGACCTTGGGCTCTGACTACCTGGTTTCGGGTTTAACTTTCCTCGGGAAGCCGCCATCTTTCACTTTGTTTACACTTCCAAACCGCTATGCCAGGACCCGAAAGACTCGGCATTTCACTATCGGTACTCAAGTAAGTCTCTCAGAAAAGAATTCGCTGTTTGCTTCCCCCCTTCCCCCTTCGCTACATTAGTCCATTCACGCGCTTAGGAGGCGTCCCTCCTTACGCACCGTTTTTCTCACGAGGGGGGGTACTCCGTTTTAGTAAAATAATCCGTTTATGTCGAACTCACGTTCATTGTTGGTCATAACGTGACCCGCTCTCTTCATATGCTATTTCGCTCGATCTCCTGCGCTTGTCCCGGTTAGATTGGCTTGTACCCTAAGGTCACCCAGCCGGCTGGACCATCGGGGCGGAGGGAAGTTTCTATTCTCTGGCATCCAGCCGTCGAAGAGGCTAACCCTCAAAAGCCCCCTGGCCTGGAACCCTTCACAAGGGCTCCGTGGGGGTGCCACTTGAGGTGGCACCCCTCCAAGCCGCGGGTGTGCTAGTCGCCTCCTCAGACATTGAGGAGAGCGACCGCCATCGCCAATCCACCCACCGGAAGCCTTCTTCTTCTTTTTATACATATTTGTTTGAGAAGGTGAAACACAGGTCCTAACTTAAGCCCTTGTATGTAGAGAGCTAAGGTAGTGATTCCTTTGTATGTTTCTGTATATTTAGGTCCTGAACCCGTTCACCTGAAAACCAAAGAGAAACTGCAGGTGACCTGGGAGAAGATGAGTAAATCCAAACATAATGGCATAGAGCCCAAGGAGGTAGTCCAGAGGTACGGAATGGACACCGTCCGGCTCTACCTCCTCTTCGCTGCCCCTCCAGAGCAAGACATCTTATGGGATACGAAGAGTAAGTCTCCCTTCCCGTGATCCCCTCTGTTCCCTGATTTTACGGTTTAAGCTGCAGAATGGCTTCCGGTTATGGGAAAAATATTTTCATAATATTCATAAAATATTTAATGCAACTTACTACTTAAGAGACCTGTCACAAAGTGAATTTCAAAGAGCAGAGGGCTTGCTCCAAAGGCACAAGCATTGCACAAAGTTGTTTCAACTCTTTCCTTATCAAAAAGCCCCTATCCTCGTTTTCTTATGGCCGTGAATCTGGCACTCTTGCAAACATGCCTCTACCCAAGAGGGCTTGGCTATGTGAAAGGGCCAGCCAGATGAGAGGGGGTCTGAACTGGGCCTCAGTCACGTTTAAGAGACAAACTGTCTCATTACAAAATGTAGCCATTCCAGGCGTCATAATTGGGGTGACTATCGTCTCACGTCCCTTGGCTTGGCAGAACCTGGCTTTTTATCCCCTTTCAGGTTACACATCCCCTAAAGCAATCTCTGTCTCTTTGATCGCCTTTGCAAGTACTTAGACAGGCATTAAGAGGGTTGTTACATCTGTCATCAGAATCTAAAGCGAATATTTCTCTGGGAAGGCGTTTGTACCACTAGCCTTTCAGCCCTGGAAAAAAAATACGACAGAAAGTATTTAAAAATTACGATAACAATGCATAGTTGCTGATGAAGTCAAGTCAGAGAATTATTATTTATTCAGTTATATAACTAAACATTAATAAAGCAAACCAAGGTCTTTGAATGTTTTAAATGCTGACTCATTTCAAGTGGGCTTGAACGGTGTTATCTTAACTTGCATTAATGAAAACCTCTCTCTTTCTTTCTCTCTCTCTCTCACCCGTGCCATTTTTCATTAAATTTAGCTGATGCACTCTCTGGGGTGCAGAGATGGCAATCTCGCCTCTGGCACTTAGCAACCAAACTTATTGAAGCCAGGGATTCTGGAACGCTGCCCAGTCCTCAGCTCCTGAATCAAACAGAGCAAGCCCAAGCCAGACGTATCTGGGAGCGGAAGAACCTTGTGGTCTCTGAGGTTAGAAAGAATTCTGACTATTCTAAAAATGATGGAGCCGTTAGGTCTCTCGTGATATTTTGCTGGTTGTCACACCAGTGTAATTTCAGAGTGCTTAAAGAAAAAAGTTAGTAGAACATAACCCCTTTGAAGTCCTCTTCTCAGCCTCCCTCCTTATAACCTGGGGAAAGTACATGCTGTTCTATAATGGCATTTGGTGATGACCGCAGATGTCACAAGGCTAGACGTGCCCTGAGGTGCTTGTGTGTGCGTTCAGCTTATTAAACTGTTGTATTGCCAGCAAAACAGCTATTGTGCCATGTGCTGTAAATACCACTATTTCTGTAATACTCCTGTAAAGACAGCAGGAAGGATTTCTGAAATGTTGCTGGATGATGATCGTATTCCTGCTTTGATGTAAGGCAACAGGGTACATTACCATGAATTGTGCTTATTTAAAGAGGGAGAGAGAGAAACATTTAACAGGGCCTTCTTTCGAGCATTAGTTATTTGTGGGGGAGAAGTTGACTTTCTTCCTCCTCCACACCTATATATCTAGCATCTGTCTTGAGGAATTAACATCGGTAGGCAGAGAGGAGGAGGAGATTGGATTTATACCCCACCCTTCACTATCGGACGGAGTCTTAGAGTGGCTTACAATCTCTTTTCTCTTCCCCTCCTCACAACAGACACCCTGTGGTGAGGCTGAGAGAGCTCTCTCAAGAACTGCTCATGAGAGAATAGCTCTGTAAGAACTTGTGACTAACCCAAGGTCACACCAGCAGCTGCATCTGTAGGCGTGGGGAATCAAACCCGGTTCTCCCAGGTTAAACTTGGACCAGTGAGGCTCGGGTTCAAATGCCTGCTCAGCCAAGAAGCACTCTGTTTGATTGGGGGCTGGGTCATTAGCTTTCAATCTAACTACCTCACAGGATTGTTATATGAGGAGAAATGAGCTCACATATACACTGTCTTGAGACGAAAGAAATTCAAATAGTGCTAGTAGTAAATACCTGTAAGTGACATCATAAAGATTTTCTAAATATCTGTTGTTCTGACTTCGGTTTAAATTTCAGAAACTACCTCGTTAACACTGGCATGGATTTCGTGTTTCCTTTCCAGGCTATGACTGTGGGAAACACTCTAACAAAATGTCTTCATGTATTGCAGTCTGTACAGAAACGCTGCTAATAGCACAAGATTTGGATGTTTCTGTAAGATGTAACAGTAAAGTTGCTATTGCCTGTTTGTTTTTTAATGAGCTAGACAAGATTCTGTAGAAGCCTAATTAAAATAACTGCTGATTTAATAAATTGGTTGGGGATTTTTCAGTGGGACAACCTGAAGAGATGCCATTCATTCAGTTAGAAAGCATTTGATGCTCCTCAGAGGTGTACAGTATGCTATGCCTATTACCATATGAGTTTGAAGGTTCATGGTTGTATATGTGTCTGTATGCATACGTACTGCATATATAAAATGTATTTTTATATAAAATATATTGGAGACTAGCACAGAAACATAAACAGTTGTGGGCAGGAAGGGGAGGGAGAGAATCCTGTTTCCAGTTTCCCATATCCATTTGGTATGTGGCAGCATATCATACAGATATGGCTGCGGTCTCACACACTAAATAATCCACTTTCAGTGCACTTTCCAACTGGATTTTGCCAGTTCACACAGTAAAAATCCAGTTTGAAAGTGGATTATTTAGTGTGTGTGACCGCTGCCATGGTCCTACTTTAGGTCGTCTTAAGGACATGCTCAATCAGTGGGATTTGTGACTTGGGAAAACAAAACGGGAGATTCCCGGTGCTGCATCACAGATTGCCTTTGTTCCTTCTTTCCATTTTTAATTTTTTGTTTGCCGTGCCAAGTGAGGTAGCAACACAGTGTCTTCAAGTAGCAAAAGGGAGAAGTTCTTCTGGACATGTGGAACAAGTTCAACGGTTATTGACAGCCTTGCAAAGATATGTAAAGTACACAACCGGTCCTTTCATACACTGGTCTCTATAATTTATTTATTATTTTTTTATACCCTGACTTTTATACCCCATTCTACTCGCCTCCATTTAGCCTGATAATAAGTCTGTGAGGTAGGTTAGGCCAAGAGTGTGCAGCAGGCCTGGGGTTCCCAAGCAGGCTTCGGTGGCAAAGCGGTGATTTGAGCCGGAGTCTCCCATCTCCTAGTCCAGTACTCTAACCACTACACCACACTGGCTTTGCCTTGTGTTAACTGAACGCACAGGGGAACAGTGAACAGATCACCTGTTTTTGCTTCTTAGAGTTCATCTTTAGGGATCTTGGAGCATACTGAAATCTTTTTTCCCTATTGATATTCAAGCCTAATGGATGAAAAAGGAAGCTATATTCCAAACTTCTGTTGTTTTCTTAAATGTACATAAAGAAAGATTATTAATCACCTAAATTAATGTTCTACTGTATGCTTCTTATAGTTCCTCAGTGTTATTTAATTAGTTACTATTGGGATTATGATGGTTATTATGTGTTATTGTTTGAATTCTGCTAAAAAAAAATTAAAAAACATTTTTTAAAGAAAGATTATTGTTTGAGCTTAAGGAGCTGCGGTGGCTCAAGTGGTTAAGACGCTGAACTGCAGGCTGTGGAAGGTCGGTAGTTCAGCAGTTCGAGACCCGAGTGTGCCGCATGACGGAGTGAGCTCCCGTCTCTGGTTCCAGCTCCTGCCAACCTAGCAGTTCGAAAGCAATAAATTGCAAGTAGATAAATAGGTACCACTTCAGTGGGAAGGTAACAGCGTTCCGTGTGCCTTGGTGTTTAGTCATGCCGGCCACATGACCACGGAAACGTCTTCGGACAGCGCTGGCTCTTCGGCTTGGAAACGGAGATGAGCACCGCAACCCTAGAGTCGGATTCGACTGGCTTTCGAGCAAGGGAACCTTTATTGTTTCAGCTCAAGGATAGGATCATTCTAATTATACCTGTAGAAGGTGTATTTGTACCTCGAGGCCCTCAGACATTTGTTTCTCCTTATGTCTTTCACAGTGAGAGAATCTCAATGATGCAGTAATCTACTTCACCAGTGGGTTTTTTTCTGCTTTTATTGTAATTAGGTAACAGGATACTTCCTGAAGGATTACTTGTTCAATGCTGCAATTTCTCAACTGATGGGTCTCAGTAATACTTTGTTGGTAAGTATACTATGTAAATATTTCGGTTTAGCTTCCACATTCCCATAAGGTCATTTGACCACATTACATTTTGAGACAGTCCAATGCTGTCTCTTCAAAATTACATTATGACAGCTCCGTCCACTTTCCCCCCTTAGCAGCAAGATTTTCCCTTTCCCTTAGCAACAAATTTTTCTTTCACTTTTGTGACTGAGCTGCCCTAGTTTTCTTCTTTCCTGAAGAATTTTGGCTGTCCCACCTTGTCACAGTATAATATTTGGGCTGTTTGCCCAGTTACTTAAAATCCTTATGTTGAGAGGCTTTTGTTCCAGTGTTTTCCCAAACACTCCAGTACACTTTCTTTGAGTATTCTCTGGCTCTTTTGGTTTCCAGAAGGCTAGTCCACTCTATCCAGTACCCGAACCCCTTCTCTTGAAACACCAATACACGTATTGAGTTTTTAAACTGACTCTTAAGGTCTCTAAAGGCAGTTTCTAACCACACTAAACCAGGTATCTCTGCACTCTTCAGAGCTAACTCCTGTTTGACTGGGTTAGGAAATTCTCCTCTAACTAAGAAGATCTATTCCCTCTCTTTGGCCTGAATGGGGGTCTCCGTCTACCTACCCACTTGTCCTTGCCAACTTTCCCCAGTTCTCCTTTCTGTGTTAAACTGCTCTCAGTCAGGGCTGAATTCTGAATGAATTCTCCTCAGCATTCAGCTCTAAAGTCTCTTTCTGCTCAGCTGATGCTAGCCAATCAGATTGCTTGGAGAAGCCTACCACTCAAGGCTCTCTGTCTCTGTGAAGAATTATCCCTTCACAGTCCTTTAGCTCTTTGTACAACACTTCTAAGCTTTTAAAAGTGCAGTCCGTCACATGCATACATGCAGCTTGTCCAGCATCACCACAGTTTAGTGGTCATTAATCAAATACATAACAAAATCATCACCCTTGATAACACTGTAAATATGGTTTTATGACTGTAAATTAAAACATATTTTCCAGCAAGTTAAAAAAAATATGTAGTAAGGTGAAGCCTTATTTTTTCCCCCTGCTCTGAGTGAATTTAATGATATTCTGACACAGTTTTTGGTTACATCAGAATACCTGGCTTGTTGAAGCAACATACTGAAGCTACAAATGTCTTCAGGCTAATGTAATAATGATGTCTTTCTGTTCAGGCCATCTGCTTGCATTCTTCTCAGATTGGTAGACTGTAAAGCCTGAGAGTACTTCAGTAGTGCTATAGAACAAGTTTTCACCAGCACTTGGAAATATCTACTTTTGTACCGTTTTTGAAACCAGGAAGTCTGAAAGCTAAATTTAGAACTAAAAAGTTTCACTTCAGAAAATGATAAAATCTGTTCTCTTTCTTACTTTGAATGATCCTTTCTAGTAACCGTGGACGTAAGCACTGTGCCACTGGAAAAAGTCTAGTGAGGAAAACTTCTGATGGGTAGGCAGTTGTTAAACGGAGAAGGAGGTATTTTGGGGACCTAGCAGAACTGTCAGCCTGCAAACAAGGCTTTCTGAATGATACTAAAAAGATATCTTTGTGCGTGTAATGTATGCTTTAAAAATAATCAGCTTGTTTTACATCATCTTCACTTTGGGAATATCACATTTCTCCAGACATTCAAAGCACAGTGAATATATGAACCGGCCTTGTACTGAATCAGGCCCTTGGTCTATTCTGTACTGTGACTGGCAACACTTCTCTGGGGCCTCATGTTTCTACATTACCCCTTTAACTGGAGATGCTGAGGATTGAACTTGGGACCTTCTGCATGCAAGACAGATGCTCTACTGCTGAGCTAAGGCCCCTTCCCTGGAGAGGAGGCCTGAACCAGTTTTGAAGAACATAACACCTGCCCCAAACAGCATTTTCACATTTGCTGTGACTGTTTCGTGGAACACAGTCAAGAGATTATCATAGTTGCTTAACTGCATATTGGATACTGCACACAGCTCATCTGGCCAGTCTGTGAATGTTTTAATGTATTGTTCTAGAGCACAAGTATATGGCAGTGCGTGAATTACATTTTTAAAAACCTCTCAAGGAGACAGAGGGGAAGTAGGGTATAACTATTGACATGAATACAACAAGCAAAGTAATGATGCTCCTGTTATTATATAGCTTGTTTCCCTCTGTTTTAAGTTATTTGGATGTCTCTTAGCACACAGCTCCTGCATGGGTTTATTTATTTCACAGTTTATTTCAAGTGGTTAGAAAGCAATGACAGGTATTTAACCACATAGTTCCAAAGACTTGGAGTCTTTTTTGTGTGTGTGATATTTGTGTGTGTGCGCGTGAGCACGTGCACACACACGCATGCCTGAAAGTCATGGTTGACTTCTGGCGACCCCTAGTGAGGCTTGGACATTTCAGAGAGGCGGCTTGCTATTGCCTGCTTCAGTTTCTCAACCCTGGTATTCCTTGGAGGTCACCCTTCCAAGTCCTTGCCAGGGTCAGACCTGCTTAGTTTCCGAGATAGGACAAGATTGGGTTTGCCTGGGCTACCCAGGTGGTAGGAAGAGGGAGTGACAATTTCCACTGATTCCCACTGCAGACCCCCAATTTCACCCTGTGGTTGTCCCTTAGGGTCCACTGACACCCAGAAACAAAATTTGGGGTGTGGGCTAAGTGAGCTGCCACAGGGGCGAGGAGGGGAAAGTTCTGCTTTGCTGAAGTCTGCGGATCTTTGGATGCACTTCAGGAAGTCGGTGCTGGCAGTGCCTGCACAGTTCTAAAGTGATTGTTGTATGTGTATGTAGAAAAACAACAACAACTATCGAGCACTCTCCATTTGTGTGTGTATTAGTTTGTTTGTGCTTCACTCAGTTGTGAACAGCTACTGCATCATAACATTCTTAAAGGGTATGTGTGTTGATGGATTATAGGGGCATGGCTGTCCCTCCAAAGAAAAGCAGTTGTCTCCGTGTATTATGTGTGGATGTGATATTATTCTGTCCTAAGAAACAAACTGTGGTGACAGGATTAGACGAGTGTTCTTTGTATGCCAAAAGCTAATAATTCTTGGGCCTCGGAAAATTCCTCCCCCTCTCCAGCTTCAATACTTCGTCTTTTCTGAAACTGATTGGGTTACTCGGCTTTATCTAAAGCAGACAGAGATGGAATGCTGACAGTGTATCCAAACAAAACACAGGCCCGGGTTATCCATCTTGTCCCGCTTATCTCTTGCATTTGCAAGAGGAATTATAAATTAAGATAGTACTAAGCAGCGAATTCCAGTTTCAGTCCCCTAATCCGATAGACTTTTGTGTGCAGGAACCTTTTCTGAGGACTTCACAGAGCCCCAAGACTTGCCGGTGCCATTTCCTTTGTCGGTCAAGGCCAAATGGTCAGCCGTATCCATTGACAACCTAAGTCTTTTGGGTTTGACATTTCCTAGGGTGTGTGTATGTGTGTGTGTGTGTGTATACACAACTCCTACTCATCTCGATGTTCTGCAGACAGAAAAGTCAGGACTGCCTAGAGCAGGGGCTCTTTCCCACATATTGTGTGGCTCCCGGCAGGGCCGCTGGGGAAGTGAAGGGGAGGCATGACTCCCCAGTTGGTCTTCCCTTCCCCAGCCAGTGTTCCCCTCCCTGGGTAGGCTTGAGGTGGGAGCAGGAGCAGAGAAGAAAACAACTTCAAGTGCATTCTCAAAGCCCCCCCCCCCAGCCAGCTTGGAGAAAAAGCAAATTTGCATATTTTTCCATAAAAATGTGTGGGTAATATTTGTTCAGGTCTTGTGGCTCTCAAACATCTGACGTTTATTCTATGTGGCTCTTAGGTTAAGTAAGTTTGGCCACCCCTGGCCTAGAGCATCTCACTGTATAAATGTGGGATCTGGCTTTTCATTGCCGAGTACAGCTCTTTATGTTTTTTACTTTTGGACTATCTTTTTCCCTCACCTTATTCAATAGTACTGTATTCACAAATCCCATTCTTCTTCGTTACAGCAAGTCTCCCCACGGCTTATCCTCCACAGTGTGGAGTTTGAAGATGCTTTGGCGACTCTCTGTGTTATGCTTGCCCCGATGGCCCCACACGTAACTTCAGAGATCTGGAAAGGTAACTTGCAGAATCATGGGGTTGTGGGGGTCTTGTTACCATTGTGAAGGAAAGACTTCCAGGAAAAAGTCTGTTGTCATAACTAAACGTTTTGATTATAACCCTTGTCTTAAAGGCATAAGAGATGGAAAGTTATAAGCGGCATCCTTTACAGTGCAACTTGAAGCAGAGTTACACCCTGCTGAGTCCATTGACTTCAAGGGTGTAATTCCTCTTAGGATTGCAGTTAGTGACTCCTCTTCATGAAAAATTGGTGCCGCATTTTATGCAAGTAAGTGGCTGTTCATAGAATTTGTAGGCAATTAAACTTCTGTTGTGAAATGTTTATTATAATAGCGAGAGTTCTCATCGGGCTCTTGAAAACCTAAATTTGTCCCTTTAGATGACTCAGCTCCCACTCACTGATCTTCAGTGATGATGTACTATATATGTTGTTTGGCCAACAAGTGATTAGACCTCTGTAGCTGAGATGCCAACATGATGTGTGTGTGTGCGGGGGGGGGGGGGGGGGGGGAGGGT